TATTCTCAGACTCATCTTTGTCTTCTTGAAAGCCTCTCCTGATATAAACGGCTGCGTTAAGATTTAGATTTATTTTTCGAGTGACATCTCAAAAAATTCTCCATATTTATAATTCTCTACAATTTGGTTGTAGTGTCATTTGTAGCGAAAACCTTCGACTTGGATGTTTTGGCATTCGGTTTTGCGGGTTTTTTTGGGTTTTTCTGTCACTTATGAMAACGTATAAAAACTTTAGAAACACCTTAATTTAGATATATTTATATACGATTTACTTTTACTCAGTAATGAAAGTTGATTGTTCAATTGAGACTTCGCTTCTGCAAGTTGCAGCACTGCGGAAAACCAATTTGAAGGGCAATTTGGTAGTCACCGATATATTCAGTGTTTTTGGGTCCGTTTCAATAGACCTAATAGGCTAACGCGTTGCTATAAACGTTTCCAGCCAATTCAAACCACCCGGGAGCAAGTTTTATTTCGTTGTATTTTTTATTTAACAGATGAATTCTTAGAAACAAAAGTTCTTTCTCCCAAAGCGAATTTGATTGGGTGGTAAAATAGCAACGCGTAAGTCGATAGGCCTATTACGCTAGGCTATTTAGATTGTATTCTCGTGCTTATTTTTTATTACAAACGGAAACGTGTCGCCGCAGCGAMAATAATAATATAATCACGWTAATACAAGCTAAGCCCCAGTAACCAGAATACGTTTTAATGGTCGTGCTTGTGACTTCAGAGGTGCATCATGGGATTGCTCTGCACAACAGCAGTCATTTTCTTCGTGAACACGAATCTTTAGAGTAGCCATTTAATTATTTTTTGAAGCCTTTTTGACAATGCATAACGTTGAGTTACGCAAAGAAACTTCGTCCTCTGATCCATGCTTTTTTTCATCAGCCGCCATCTTGGTACTTAAGCCACACCTTGATGCACTTCACCAAGCATGACGTCATAGTGAAAGGGACCAATTTAACTGAGAATCTCAAATGAATATTTTGCTTTTGCTCATTAACGACTCATGCAGTCGAACTAAGCACATGAGAAATTCAATGTTTTAAACAGGCCTAATTTCAGAGGTTTTAGTTTGATAGGACAGATAGCTAAGATCATTGTAGACTTGTAAATATTTCGATTTACTTTAAAACATTTGTRATTAACGCCTGTGCTAAGTATAAATGCAAATTACTAATTCTTTTTTGTTTTGTTTGTTTTTTTCTTACCCGTATGAAGTGAGCCTGTTATAGGTTGGCGGTTTGACGATTTTTGTTGATTTTTTTTGAGGTCGGTATTCGATATTACTTCTATTTTKGATTCTTTTTCCGGTTGTAAAGATATAACTGTAGCTCAGTTTTYGATTTTCCGATTTTACAGTTTGCGGGATCAATGTGCGGATTACCAATATGACACCTCCCTATAATTGCCCCCCATTAAAACGTAACAAAAAGTTAAAGGGTTGTCAGCAAAAGAAAAAGTTGACTGCACATGCCAAGTAAATCAACTATCTTTGATTCTGGGACATAAAATTAAGAGAACGGGCCCTCCATGGGTGAGACGCGGAGCGATTTAGGTCGAGAGAAGATGCCTGCTGAAGAGGTTTGCCCGTGTTGCAGAGACCAGTGAATATTTGCCCATAAATACCCACAATGCCTTTCGCTGGTCGTGCATTCTTATACGAACGTCTTATTTACAAATGCACTTGCTAACTGATCATTTCAAATGGATTTAATGACAATTATATTAACATATTTACAAACCAGTAATTACATGCTTACAAAACATTCAAGAAGTTCCCTCTAAGCTGAAGCCTATCACATGAGTCGCAAAGCTTTCAGCGGTAAATGTTTCTGGTAAATGCGCACGCAGGAGTTCAGAGGCCTCTGACGCGTCAAAGGTCCCAGTCTCTGCGCTTCCACCAAGATCTCCTTCYCCCATTAATGTTGACATGTATTCGGCAAGCTCAGCTTCGGTTAAATGTTCTCCTGAAAATAACATTGAAGGTTTTAGACGCTGAAAATGAACACTGGGATGGTTTTTAAAAACCCGTAAATCAAAGTGTAATGTTTGAGACATTGAAAAAGATATTTGAGACATTGAAAAAGTAAGGCAAAACGTGCAAAAAGAGTAAGTGCAGTACGTTAAGGTATATTTCACGGACTTATGAAAATGCACAAAAATACGAGAAACAACGACACTGACAGCAACAAACGAGCAAAAACAAAAAAATTCATCACAATCATCAAAATCATTTACAATAACACTAACACCATTTTGCTTTAGAATGTCMTATTTTATTACCTCGGTTTTTGAGCATGTCTAAAAGTTCATCCCGGCTGACTTCAAAGCCTTGATCTCCGGGCTSACCGAGTTTGGTAAACGCTTGATGAAGATCAGTTGGAGATAGTCCAAAGGCTGGTCTGTGGTTAACATACACTACAAA